GGTACTATTAATTATAAAGAGGTTTAAAAATTAGGCTTATCTCAAAATTTTTGCTTTAAGTAACGTATTTACCAACAGTAACTGTTTAAGAAAATCAAAGTACAAATTTCCGTGTATATACTGTAAGGAAACATGTCTTAGACCACACTAATTTTTTATTCAAAATTTTTTACAACATAAATGTTGGTTGCATATTTTACTTACTTTTTGCTCTAGTGAAAATGCATAAAGCAATTTCGCCTGAAGTATTAAAAACTAACACAATGATTAGCTATAATTGAATTAAAATACAATCCTGTAGTTATAATTAATGACTTTAACACAATTGAATTATATTTTTATAGTAAAACATATTTTTTAAAAACCTTTTATACTCGAAAACAGTTAGGATTATATTGATAGTCAGTAAAAAATGTAATAACAATTAAATGCACAGTATTTCTTATGGATTGTTTTATGTAATGTACACCGTAAAATTTTTAAATAAGCCTTTCTAACACATGAAAAAAAAAACTTGTATTCAACTTTTACGGAAGGATCTTAACACTAATGTTATAAAGTCACACATGTGGTCCATGTCAATAAGTAATGAAGAATGACGAATGGGACGAATCAGTACTATTCGTCCATTCTTCCATTCGGTTATTCGTCAAGTGCGCTGTTCACATGGAGCGGAATCGAATTGACAAACAGGTCAAATATACAAATTACCTTACTTGAAATCACTGTTAATAATCCATAACTATTTGCCATTCGTCATTCGTCGGCTCTATTCTGCTGCACGTATGTTCAGCCTAACTCATGACATGCGATCAAGTGGGATTCGTTTCCAGCAACTCCAGACAACTTATGCGCGTCTATCACTGCATTGTCAGAAAGTCATCTTTTTCTATTTTAGACATTAATTTGTTTTCAACATTTGAACGTTTGATTCGCCTTCAGTACAAAATCTAGAGTTCGACACTGATGCTCATCCAACTAGGACAATCACAAGGGTACCTCGGGCCCTGCTTTGCAGGTTCCTCAGGCATTAGTACGAAACGTACTTACTATTCCCGCACTTGTTGCATAATAATTATTTACATAACAAGTGTAGGAAAGATAGGTTTTCATACAAGTGGTGAGAAACGCACATGAGCTACTGGTATCGAAGGCATTGGCTACGAGTGTGATATTATCACACGAGTGTTGGAATAATCTCACATGAGTTGTGTACAAGATTTTTTGTAATATTATACGGAAAATATTAAAATGCGATTTTGAAACTGATTAGTAAGTTTTTGTAAGGCGTAGGGCTGGTGGTAAGGAAAAATAAAATCTTTAAAATGTCGGTATATGCTAGACAGATACTGATAGCTAATAGACAGAACTGTTTATGTGTCAAAAGTATATCATAGTGATAAGATTTTGTTTTTACTAAAATCGATGATTTAAAAACAATGAAAATAATAAATAATTACCTGAATTAGTGGTAGGCTTAATTTAAATATCAAATTATTTAACAACTGTAAGAGTAACTGCCTATGTATTTACTGCTCTTTATCTTTGTTAATGTAAATTAACGCCGTTAAAAAATAAAAACAAAACCCAAATTATACTTACAATTGAACTTCTAGATCCTCCCATTATTAATAAGAGTTGCATATCATTGAAAAAGTTATATGTTCAGATTTACAAAAAGTATTTCTTTCGCTGATTAGTGTATAAATTTTCAGAAACAAGAGAAGAAAGAACAGTTGTGCAACTACAGGATATTCGAGAAATTGAAGGTTTGGTTTCAAAAATTTAAAGCATGATTTGATATTGTGAAATTAAGAGTTCAAGTTGTTAACTTTAACGTTGCATTACAGTAAAGAATTTAAAAAAATGTGAGAAGTAAGAAATCAAGTGATTTAACATCATAAATTTCATTACATTGGTATAAACTAATCTTTTTAGTAGCATTACAACAACCGCATAATAAAATTGATAAAAAAAATTTTTTTTTAATTTTTTCATTTCTCACTTATGTATGAAATTTAGTATTTTAAAGCAATCATGTGTCATATTGCTGCAAAACAATCTGCTTATCTGTTTTAACCAATGATAGCATGGAGGTTTTTCTATAAAATTGTTAGAAACTTGCTTTTTCGTAATAATATGTTTTTCTTACAAAATATCAAAATATGCCACTTGAAAAGTAAGTGACTAAATTTATGAACAATCGTTTACTTTTGCGTACAAGACATGGCTGCTGCATTTATTATTTATCACTAAGGCAAAAAGTATAATAACAATATACATAAACAATTGGATGCTGTAAAATAATTTTAATATCCTCGAAATATTACTGCAAGTAAAAGTATTTAATAAATAAATAAGAGCACTTTTTTGAATTTCATACGTTTTGTGTTCAGTACTTAATGGTAGAACTTTAATTTCTTGCAATAATAGATAAAAAGGTTTGTCCATTACATTATAAAGTAAAATTTAATTCACATATTCAACGTCAATTTGCAACGTTATGGCTATTCAGCGGATTTTTTTCTGATTGGAGTTAAAAGCAGAAGTGCTGGGAATATTTTTTCCTTTGATACAATCTCTTTTAATGCAAACTATCAAATCCAAGTATGTCGACGAAGTTGTCCATCAAATAAAAGCCCTTTTAGATTTTATTAGCTCAAGTAACTCCTAAAATTTGATTTTGTACTTAAAGAGTCGATCCTGTCTATAATGTGAAAAACTAATTGTATTAAATTTGTTTGAGACTTAAAACTTTATTTTTTATTCCTTGCTAAGGACTCAAAATAGTAGTGGATTCTTGTATGTTTGTGCCCAAGAAGCGAACGGTATTTTTTTTTTTTTTTTTCGAGGGTGCAAAGTCTTATCTTCATGGTACTATTAATTATAAAGAGGTTTAAAAATTAGGCTTATCTCAAAATTTTTGCTTTAAGTAACGTATTTACCAACAGTAACTGTTTAAGAAAATCAAAGTACAAATTTCCGTGTATATACTGTAAGGAAACATGTCTTAGACCACACTAATTTTTTATTCAAAATTTTTTACAACATAAATGTTGGTTGCATATTTTACTTACTTTTTGCTCTAGTGAAAATGCATAAAGCAATTTCGCCTGAAGTATTAAAAACTAACACAATGATTAGCTATAATTGAATTAAAATACAATCCTGTAGTTATAATTAATGACTTTAACACAATTGAATTATATTTTTATAGTAAAAAGCTGTTGATTTTATAAATCATAAACTGTTTTAGATATCGTATGGTTTAAAAATGATAAAATGATGCGGAACACAGACAATATTAAAATTAAAATCGATGATCGGGAATTCAAAACATCATTAGTCATAAAAGAAGCTACTCATGAAGATTCTGCTACATACATTTGCAAAGCTACGAGTGATATAGGTTTAGCTACAACTAAAGCCCAATTACAAGTGACAGGTTGTATGCTTCTGACATATTTAAAAACATTTTATTTTGATCATAAATGCAACGAGATTGATGTGAAATTAATACAAGATTTTTTCGTTCATAATAGATGCTACAGGAGAACGACCAACATTAATTGAAGATGAAAAAGAAAAAGTGTCCGAAAAAGTGCCCAAAAAGAAAAAACCAGAATTGAAAAAGTCTAAGGAAGTTCGAGAAAAAATAAAAATGGAACAAGCAAAAAAACAGACGGATAAAAAAACTGTTACTAAAGAGGAATTAGTCTTGAAAGATACATCACAAGAAATGTAATAAACATTTAAATTAATGTTTTTGAATTTAGATTTTTATACGAGGGTTTCAAAAAAATTAATTTGGAAAATACGTAGATAGTCTTCAAATAGATTCTACTCCTGTTTAACTTTTTTTTGCAGGGAAGCTATACATGTTCAAGATACTCAGTTATTGGAAACTGTAGAATTGGTAGAAGAGGAAGCTACGAAGGTAGGAATTGGTTTTTGTATGTTCATGGCTGCGTGTGTTGGGGCCACGTGTGCAGTTAGTTAAATCTTAACCAAATAAAAAGAATAGATGAATCAGAATCAAAGTTTAGCATTAAGAGCTAATTTCATGATTGTATACGTACACACATATCGTGTATACGTATACGTAGATGTAAGAATTTATTCCGTTTTATGAAACATTTTTTACTGGAAAAATTGAGAAATCCTATACCTAGTTACATATCTGTTTTAAAATACTTCCTCATGCTCTAATACCTTACTTTACGGATCTCTTAAGTTATAAAGCACATTATAACAATTTTTTTTAAGCTATCGAGAGGCCAGATGGTAGTTCCAACGCATGAAGCGATAACAGTAGAAGTGACATCAAGTATGAAAAAAACTGATCATGAACCACAAGACCTAACTCGGGATCAGGCCCAAGTAACATCTGAAACATTAGAATCTGTATCGGAAATTTATACAGAAACTGATTTGCGGGAAACTAGAAAGAAAAAGAAAAAGCCTGAAAAAATAAAAGTAACTCAAAAAGAACTTTTGAGTAAAGTCGACGTAAGACTAATTATAGAAGGACAACAGGAGAGTATTGCTCAGGAAGTGGAAGAAATCATGGAACTATTTCATGCATCGGAATTTGGACCAGCAGAACAACCTCTTCGTGAATTAGCAACTATTGGCTACTTAGTACGGCAAGGAGTTACAGTCCACGAAATTAATGAAAGCTTATACAAAACGGACAAGTTTCCAGCATTGAAAACTCCAGACGCACAAAATGCTTTGGTGCAACTAGTTGAAAGACAAGGTCACGGACCATTAATTACTCAAGTTCTTACCGAAGAAACGACCACAGATGAAAGTATTGTTGCTGCAACAGTTGGATTCAGAGCTTTTATGAAAATGGTAGAACTACAACATGCGACTGTTGAAGAAGTCATAACACATTTTAAACCAGAAGATTTCCGACCACGTGCATGGGAAGTCGCAGAAGCAATAGAGGTAAAAAATTATTTTACTCTGAATAATTATCTTATGGTTATGTTATAAAGGTTCATATGTTCAAAGTACTACTTTTTAAACTGAAAATTAATATTATTTAATTACGCCCTATAAATACGTTATTCCAAACGTACTTAATATACGGGTATAAGTAGTCCTAAAAAGAAAAATTATCAAAAATTGTTTTACATTAAAAACAAACATCTAGTGTAATCTGTTCTTTTAAAATCATACAGTTAACATACTTCCAAGTCTATTATTTCAACTTTTAAAATCAAGCTCATGTGTTGCTTTGTCATTTACTATTTCAATGGTTATTTAACATCAAAAATTTTTACAATAGATGAATTTTTTTTAATAAACTCATTAGTACTTATAGGGAGATTTTTGCAGTAAGGAGTCAATACTCGTGTACAATTTTTTTCTACCTCATGACCTTTTTTGGTACTCTCTGTAAGAAAAGCAGAATGTCACATAAGCGCCATCCAACTGGGACTATACAACAACCCTGACATAGTCCTAGGGACGATGGTGCGTGTGTGATGATAAAAATTTTTTTGCATCGATTAGTGCATTTTTCATCGGTATACAACAATTTAAGTTTAAAAACCGTAGATTTCAAGCTGCAGATGATTTCTGATTTCTAGTTTTTGTCTTATTAACTAATACTTGAATTAAAAAATTGTTCATTAACAAAAAGTTGCGTTTTTTATCCTCTATAAGACAGAATTTTTTATGTATTAGTTGATTGATTTAAAAAATTACGGCTATCACACAGCCTATTCTATGATATTCCAGTTCTTGGCTAGTATCTTGATACGGGTATTTGCGTTGAAAGTTACATATTTATGATCTTCATTTTTAATGTTTAGAACAAGAAAATGCGCGTATCCAAAAAGTTTTTAAAAATAACCATAAAAATGACTTTAATTAGAATTTAACATAATATGTCCATGAATTACGTATACTAACTTCAAAGTACGATGACATTAATCGTGAGATTAATGACTTGAAATTCGAATTGGAATAATTTTAGTCGAGTTCCTCAGTATTCTATTTATCACGATCAAAATACATGAGTAGTAAGGTTCTTGACGTTAAGTAATATAAATCCATTTGAGCTTTTATCACGGTTTTGCAAATTACGAAATTTATGCCATATTAGAATAATATACAGGAAAACATTTTAGACCATAATAACAGTACTTATTTTTTTACTACAGCTACCCAATCAATACCTAGGTTTATTCAGGAATTTACTGATACTTACGTTCAAGAGGGAGAAACCGTTGAACTTGAATGTAAATATTCTGGAAATCCTACACCTGGTAAATGCCTGAGAACCGCTATTGTTTCAGTAAATTTAAAAAAATTAATTAAGCTGTTGATTTTATAAATCATAAACTGTTTTAGATATCGTATGGTTTAAAAATGATAAAATGATGCGGAACACAGACAATATTAAAATTAAAATCAATGATCGGGAATTCAAAACATCATTAGTCATAAAAGAAGCTACTCATGAAGATTCTGCTACATACATTTGCAAAGCTACGAGTGATATAGGTTTAGCTACAACTAAAGCCCAATTACAAGTGACAGGTTGTATGCTTCTGACATATTTAAAAACATTTTATTTTGATCATAAATGCAACGAGATTGATGTGAAATTAATACAAGATTTTTTCGTTCATAATAGATGCTACAGGAGAACGACCAACATTAATTGAAGATGAAAAAGAAAAAGTGTCCGAAAAAGTGCCCAAAAAGAAAAAACCAGAATTGAAAAAGTCTAAGGAAGTTCGAGAAAAAATAAAAATGGAACAAGCAAAAAAACAGACGGATAAAAAAACTGTTACTAAAGAGGAATTAGTCTTGAAAGATACATCACAAGAAATGTAATAAACATTTAAATTAATGTTTTTGAATTTAGATTTTTATACGAGGGTTTCAAAAAAATTAATTTGGAAAATACGTAGATAGTCTTCAAATAGATTCTACTCCTGTTTAACTTTTTTTTGCAGGGAAGCTATAC